AACACTGAAATGGGGATAAAACGCTGAAATGGGGATAAAACGCTGAAATGGGGATAAAACGCTGAAATGGGGATAAAACGCTGAAATGGGGAAATTTAATCGAATTCGTTGTTTGCTAGACCATTGCGAACGGCAATTGCTAGATAGTATACTTCAAAATAAGGTTTGCGTTTTTATAACGTAGAAAAAACTATCCTAACATAAAACTAAACCCTAACCCTAATACTAACCCTTACCCAGTAACCCTAACCTAACCCTAACCTAAACCCTAACCTAAACCCTAACCTAACCCCAACTTATTTTAAAAATTGATATAAAAACGGAAACCTTATTTTGAAGTATACTATCTAGCAATTGCCGTTCGCAATGGTCTAGCAAACAACGAATTCGATTAAATTTCCCCATTTCAGCGTTTTACCCCCATTTCAGTGTTTTACTCCCATTTCAGTGTTTTACCCCCATTTCAGCGTTTTACCCCCATTTCAGCGTTTTATCCCCATTTCAGCGTTTTATCCCCATTTCAGCGTTTTATCCCCATTTCAGCGTTTTACCCCATTTCAGCGTTTTATCCCCCATTTCAGCGTTTTACCCCCATTTCAGCGTTTTACTCCCATTTCAGCGTTTTACCCCCATTTCAGCGTTTTACCCCCATTTCAGCGTTTTACCCCCATTTCAGCGTTTTACCCCCATTTCAGTGTTTTACCCCCATTTCAGTTTCCGCTTTCAGTTTCCGCTTTCAGTTTCCGTTTCAGCGTTTTATCCCTACCCTTAGAACACCTGGCCAATTTGAATTTACACCTGGAAATTTTGCAATAGTCGTTTGCGTGTTTTTTGACCGAAGTCCGCTCTCTCTTTGAGACTTTATTTTTGGGAGTCTCAACTAGTGACATATATTATTACAACAAGAGCTTTTTACAAAAAAATGTAGTTATTAAACACGGCAGAATCTATGCCACGGCCACGGGTTTTCAAATTGTCTATTGTCTATTGAGTTAATTGTATTATTGAGCAAATGACAGACTTCACGCAATAATGATTGTTGTTTTTTAGCCTGCTATTGTTCGACACTCAAAACCTAAATACGTTTCCTTAAATCTTACAGTTATATTTTGGATATAAATATATAAAATACATTAACTAATAGAGAGTACAATTTTACGTCTCTGTAGTATAGTTACATAATTTAAAACGGCAATGTACGAACAAGACAGCAATATACAAACGGGACTATGTTTTAAATATTAGAACACTTTAGGCAAAAAACGACCATGAATTATTTTAGATTAAAGTTTAGACCTTGGAATCCTAGTGAAAGATACAGGCGTAAAATTGCGCGAGAAACTGTTTGTTGTTGTTAATAACCTCTGGTAATCTAATTAACAAAACTTGCTTTGATTGGCTACTATTTACCGGATATTCAATTATCTCAAAGGGGGCGTATTGAAAAAATATCAATAAAAGTCGCAGGCTCTATATAATAGAGCCTGTGAGCAGGCTAGGCTGAAATAAGGCAAGAAAACGACTCGGAAAGCAGCGATGTGGACATTTTAGAAGTTTCCCTTTACAATTTAAGTATCGAGGGTAAGTTGAATGAATTTTATACAATATTTATGTCGCATTTGCCGGTATTGACGGCATGTTTTACATATCTGTATAGCGACAGAATACGTCATAGTATCATGGCTTTGTTATTGTTTTTATCTCTCCCAAAATCAACAAATAAAGTTTAAAATATCATATATGGTACATTGCCAGTAAGAATTATATAAAAGCAGCAAGGATTCACAAAGGATGGCTTAAATATACGACGGATTGATACAAAAGACGTTGGGTTGTAGTCGGCCCATAAAATGGCCGCCTGGATTGTGGTGTGACACTTTAATATCCTTTAATATTTAGATTGAAGATTCTAAGCAGTGTATCCTATATTAAATACTTTATATCTAGATGAAGAAGATGGATGTTATCCAATGGCAAGTACGCCCCAAAAGGATGACAAGAAATAAATTAGTGTGCTCTGAAGTGTCCAAACGCCAAAGTGAACCTGGTCGAAAAAGGCTTCACATATCAACAGTTGACACAGGTTTGTTCTTAGTTTATAATACTGAGTAGTCTCTCTCAATCTACATATTTTCGTAGTGATATATCTAATCTAGAAATAGTCTTAGATTAAATTAAATTTTGGAATTCAAGGCAGCATCTAGCACTATAGTTCAAAGTACTAATAAGTTCATGAAGTTTCTCTTTCACACAACAGTATGACCAGAATTGGAGAATATATAATTATAAAATTATGTTTAATCAATGTTGTATCAGTACACTGTTGGCCAGTAAGCTAGGTTCGGTATGCTTGGCTGCTCGCCCAGCACCCCCCCCCCCCCTAGAGAAATCTTGCCGGATCCACCACTGAACCTTTTAAGAAATGAATGTATTTGAAGTATTTGGATTATTCAATGTTAATGCAATCTCAAAAGAATCAATTGTGATTGGCTAAGAACTACAGACAATCCTCAATGTTTATCCACCTAAAACAACATTGAAAATTGCCTGTTGGTGACATGATTTTTTAATGAGACACCTGACAAGGTTTTCTTTCCTGCCATTATAACATCATCATAATTGCATATTAAAACAATTATTGAATTTGGGTTTCGCATGACATCAAGACCGGTCAATGTTATCTGCCGAAGCCAAAGGTTGAGGTCTGGATAATTCTTGATATCATGCTCATCCTCGTCCAATATGTAATTGTTGAATGTTTTTACAATTGTATCCCATTTTTGTTTTTGCATCTTGCTCTCTCTATTTTACAAATAGAGCCTGACACAAACCTTGCTATCCACTCAAGTATATTTTTGTATAAAGTATCAAATCAAAATGTCCAGGGAGAAATGTCAATTTCATATAAAAACAACAATCTAATTAAAGTTACAACTTGCTAAATATATAATAGTAGTATCATATAATTAGGATTAACCAATATTAACATAGTATTATATAACTAGGATTATCCGATCACAAAGATACATTAAATATGGTCTGATATACTTGTGCTAGAAATAGCCAGTCAGAGCTACATTCAATATTTTGCACCTATATAATATGTCAGTTTGGATAACTCCTGTTTTTTAATTTCTGTAGATATACCTAATTAATCAACTCAAACAGATGCCTTTGTTTTGGCAGCCAGTTGGGACCACAACAATGAACAATGATATCTTTTCTGGATACAAGAGCTTCAATAGCATCAAATAGGCAATTCCAGCTTTTAGTTTATGCCTGCAGGGGATGATGGGAAGTAAGGTATCATAGTGCTGATTATGCTGAAAAATTTCAATAAAAACTACCGAAGCAACCAAAATATTTCAATATTTACAAGTATAAGCTATCACTCCATGTTTACACGGCCACCATTTTTATTTTTTCAGCATAATCAGCACTGTGATAACTTACTTCCTATCATCCCTGCACGCATAAACTAAAAGCTGGAATTGCCTATTGTCTTGGTCTAAACTTCCAATGTCCAAGTTCTAGTTTACAGCACCATCCACTGAAATTCTTTCTGGAGTTGTAGGCAATCTTCCACTTTCAACAGTTTCTCATCAACTTTTGGTAGCAACAGTAATGGCATCATTGGAACAATTTATATCATTGCCAAAAGACACTTTGTATTCTGTGTACATTAGTTCATACTAGATTGACACATCATCCATGGAATTATTCTGTAGAATAATTAAGATATTTGTATGTTACCATAGTCACTACTATAGGTTCACCTGGCAATTATAATGATAAATCTAATTAATTATTGTTATTTGTTGTTTTAAAATTTCCAAAATGAAAGTTTTGAACTCATTTATTGGGTCGTTCCAGAAAAGATCCACACTCCCCTCACAGAGGAAATTTTTGCAGTGGAGACAAAGTTGTTTCTGATAATAGGGGAGACGGGGGGGGTTACAATTCCCTCTCTGGGGGTGGTATGGATGTTTTCTGGAATGACCCATTAGCTTTGCCATGATACAGTATAAAGTACATCAAATAAACAGACAGACAGACATATAAAGTACAAGTGGCAGGGTTACCGCAACAGAAATTATACTCCCAATAACTGCGGGCCACCTTTGATAATATAAGCTACCAGAGTTCAGTGCATGTAAACATTTCACACAAACATTACAAACCTTGGGTGATATAAATGGCCATTTATTATGCTACCAAGAAGGCAACAACCTTGCAACAACTAGGTTCATCCAAGAGTTGCAAATTATAAAAAGTACACACTGTGCCAAATCAAATACATATACACTGGGGACACAGCAATGAATACATACTTTATAGTACATATACTTTGTATTTTTATTCAATCAAAAATAATATATTTAATATTTACATACCGTCTCTAATCGCAGATTCGACAATTGTTTCACTACGTGCAGCGTTTCACCCAGAGTGCATATGCTGTCATTGAATTTCAAGGAGCGATGTTTATTTATATAAACTTTGAAACGTTTCTTCGGTCCAACATCGTCAAAAAACTTCCTCGTTGTTCTCAACGCACTTTGAGCAAACCAATTCACCGCAAACTTTAGGTTTGCATCCTGAAACGGCCTATTTCTCGCCATGAATAATTCATGAGTAATTCAATATTCTTATGTCTGTAATTGGACGCCATTTTGGAAACATTATATGGCAGAGCCTTACGTAGCTTCCGTCTTCCCATCATACCTTGCGTAATTTGTCCTCCCCCCTTAATATTACGCAATTTTACTAAAAATTTTACTAAAAGGCTCTGCGGAGGAGAGTGTTCCTACCCTAAACATTCATATTCCTACCTGAAATATTCATATTCTTACCAGAAATATTCATATTCAGCCTAGTTTTTAACTTAGTATTCAATATTCCATTTCCACCCCGACCTTGAAATTCAAAACTTCTCAGGGGAGAGCATGCCCCCGGACCCCCCGTAGGATGTTGCGACATAGCTATGTCGAGCTATGTCGCAATCTATATGCACAGGGTGTATCAAGAAAAAGGCAATCCAACTTTAGCGTGCTCTTGCGCGCTCAATATTGAGTGCAAATATCTATTTTTTCATTTTAATAAAGATTAGGGTTTTATCTTATTGAATGAGGCCTTTCTTATTTCATTCCAAGCACAAATGACCAAATACAAGCCGATTAAAAATTGTCGGTCAAAATTTTTCCAACTTAATTAAAGCAGCCATAACAAAAGAAGAAGCAAATAATCTGACTAATGTGTCTTGCCAAACAATAAGTTTAAAACAGAAGTGACCAATTTATCAACAATTATTTAATTTTATCGCACCATATTTAGGGCTTTTTAAATTAAATTCATAAATCTCAATCCAAACGGGAATAGTTTTGCACCAATTCCTAACGGTGGGAAAATGTGATTTCGACCGGCAATTTTTATACGATTCGTATTCGGTCATTTTTCTTTATAATGATATAAAAAGGTACATTAGAAAGTTAAATGCCTGAACCTTGTTTCAGTGAAAAGATTATCGATAAACTCAATATCTAACATGCCTTTTTATGCACCCTATATTTGTTTTGACCCTCTCCCCCTGTCCCAAGTCTTGAACCTTATAGGTCAAGTTGTCCTGATTGAGAGGATAAATTATTGAAACGCAGAAAGCAGACCTGACCATCATTTAGGCCGACACAAACGATCCCATTTGAGGCGCATGCTATAGCTTCCACACGCTGGTCGAAATGAAACTCTTCAACAAACCGTCCATTGCGTAGATTCCACAATTTCAGCGTATTATAAATCCGCTGGCCTGTCAAAATAAATTCACCTCCTGGCACAAATGCCAACGCTGAGATCCTAAAAAATGGGCTGGGATATTGTGTGTGACCAAGAACTTTACAGAGTGTCGCTCCAGTTTGAAAGTTCCAAATCAGCAAGGAATCACCAACTAAAAGTGTAATTTAAAATTGTAATAATATCCATAGAGGGGATGTTTACACGAGGCGATTATATTTTTGCTGCAACTTGAAATGCAATTTTGGATATTATATAGCCGTGTTATCTAAAAAGTTGTCACAGAAATTGTGAACATGGCCCGGATTCTAGTCTGTCGACACTTTCTTTACATAACATACTTTTAAGGGATGAAAAATGAAAGAAATATGATTAAAAATGTCGACAGAGTAATAATCCGTGGTTCATGCGCACAATTTTCATGCGACTCCTTTTTCGATAACATGACCCTATGTCCGAAATTGCGTTGCAAGTTGTAGCGGAAATCGCCTTGTGTAACATGGCCTTGAAAGGGCCACGCGGGTGAAAGATACGGTTAGGGTGTTGCCTCTTACCGCTGAATTAGGCCTGCAACTATTGCAGGTCGAGGGAAGAGTAAATTCGTATGATATTTCCTTCGGTTTGGTAACTTCCCTGTGGTCGTGTTCTACTGTGCTTCAAACAGCCTCGTACCTAGGCCTGTATACAGAAGTCGCAATGAATGCATGCGCGTACTGCATGTTGGCAAGGACGAGACGAACAAGGCTATGCTTAGGAGGTTTTTCGCCGGGAAGTCCGGTTTTCCTCCTTCGTCAACCTTTGAGCTAATCCTCGACCACACACTGTGAAATGGAAATTAAATAAATAATAATAAATAATCATTTACCGGTAGTGGCCGTATGGTTGGAAGCATTGTTAATACGTCGTCCTTCGTAGTATGGCCCGTCTTCAATAAAACTAGTCTTCAATACCTCGTTCAAACTCCACTTTACGAACCTAATTCGGTCATAATCCCACCCAGCACCAACAAGGGAGTCCTCCACCACATGTAATGCTGCAATTCCGCGACCATCGAACCTGTACGCGCCCACGATCCCAGCAGCGTTTATTCGATAAACCTGCCAAAATAATAATAACCATATTTATCCAAAATATCCACCAATGTTCAATATCACAGTCGGCTATTCGGCCATTTCTCGAGCAAAACGCCAGTATGGTCGTCTACTGATTGCTCCGCACCGACATCAATAGCATCATTGCCATCTCTTAGCAAACTATTACACATGCAAGAACGTTACTATACTTAGAATACACTATATAAAGATTTGCCAATTGAAATTCCTTTCAATAAATAAATAATTGGTGTCCGTCATGTCTGAGAACATTACTGTCAGAACCAGGTTTTCAGAATTATATTGAACTCAGATACCCACATCACTTATTACCAAATCTGTAGATGCTCCTCCCACACGAAAAAGCATGCCATGTTTTCGTGTCAAAACATTCAGAAATGCCACTGCATTCCTAAGCTCATTACAGTTCCCTCTCCTCCTACATTTACCTCAAATTGAGCATACAATTGTCGCAAATTTGAAGTGGAAAGGACGAAGAACAGACAAATTTGAATGTAATTCGCAGTTTTGTCAGAAATTCAGGACGCTTCGCCCCACCATAGGCACAGGAGAAAGTGAAAGTTAGAAAGCTAAACAGGTAACAGTACAAGCTGTTTGACGGTCTTCTTAAAACTTAATTTACGCACCATTATATATAGAACAGTGAGAACCCCAAAGACTGGTAATTGTCAGAAACGTTGGGAATAAGAAGCTTCGCTGAGAAAAAAATACAGATGAAACGGTCCGATGGGGTTAGGTGGAAAACGCGGACATGCGGTCGTGCAGACACAAAATTTACTAATTAAAGTTCAAAAAATTTATTGTGAGAATAATAAAATTTATTAGATTGATATAGTGTAATGATATAATGAATAAAGATTGATAATAGATTGTTCGGCGAACTTTTACTGCTTTGATGTACTTAGTATAAAATATTCTGAAAAAAAATTACGAAAAAAAAGATTCTGAAAAAAAAGATTCTGTACGTACTTTTATATTACTTAGTATAAAAGATTCTGAAAAAAAATTACGGGGACCACTCAGAATTCTTACACAACGGTAACCCGAAAGAAAATTTTTTAATATATTTAACTGATCATCATCACGAATGATACTAGATTACGCGTGCATTACAAGGATATTTTATAAGTGAAGATTCATAGAGTAATTTTATATATATATACATGCATATATACATAGAAATATTATATTATATAAGCTAGTTAAATATTCTGAGGCTTTGATATTTTAGTTCCGTGACTAAGTTCTCTGCAGTGCAAACTTGTAGCTCATGACTAACTTGTGAACATACAATACAATGGTCGCAGCACGCATTTCAGAATTGTCCGCTGCGCAAGCACTATATGAGGTAGGTACGGTGGCCCATACGGGCCAATCCTTCTCCGTAGAAACTTGCACCTTCTCCGTACAAATGTGTTGTTATTCCATGGAAATCAAACTTCTCCGTGGAATATTGCCGTTGTTCTGTCACGGAAAGCCTTTTCTCCGTAGAAATATGCAGTTTCTCCGTGGAAACACGCATCTTCTCCGTGGAAACACGCAGCTTTTCTGTGGAAACACCGCCGCTTCTCCGCGGAAACGCGTAGCATTTATGTGAAACACGATGCGGTGGCCCGAACGAGGCACCTCTTCTCCGCAGAAGCATGCAGCTTCTCCGTAGAAACACGTGCCTTCTCCGTTTTTGGGCACTTTCCTTGTGAATTAAAAAAGGCACGCCCCCCTAAATACTTATTGGTTTTATACGACGGGGGGGAGGGGGGGGGAGAAGAGAGAATAATTCACAAGTCAACATCGTGGTGAAAACATTACAAGCCAATTTTATAAATATGAATGCTTTAAATTAATATGGGCACAAATATCCAGCATATAAATTGTGAGAATTGCCAGGCAGAGATTTTGATCGTTTATAGCTTTTGTAACAATTGTGGAAATAGACTTGATACTGGTATTAAGTATACATACTAGAAAGTTTTACTTTTTTATATTTGTGTTATCATTTTCAGTTTGTGGATTTATATTTTTATAAATTGAATATTTAAATATACGCCGTATTAATCTGTCAGTCAGTCTCGTAGCGGATCCGCTAGTGTAGGTATTTGTATATCCATATCTACACTAGCAGATCCGCATACGAGACCGACTGACTGACAGATTAATACGGTGTTTATTTAAATATTCAATTTATAAAAATATAAATCCACAAATAAAAATGATAACATAAATATAAAAATATAAAACTTTATAGTATGTATACTTACCAGTATCAAGTCTATTTCCACAATTGTTACAAAAGCTATAAACGATCAAAATCTCTGCCTGGCAATTCTCACAATTTATATGCTCGATATCTGTGCTCATATTAATTTAAAGCATTCATATTTATAAAATTGGCTTGTAATGTTTTCACCACCATGTTGACTTGTGACTTTATTTTCTCTCCCCCCCCGGCGTATAAAACCAATAAATATTCAGGGGGGCGTGCCTTTTTTTAATTCACAAGGAAAGTGCCCATCCACGGAGAAGGCACGTGTTTCAACGGAGAAGCTGCATGAAGTTAATCCAACGGGAAGGAAAAGATGAACTAGAAGAAAATAAAAAAAAGGATTGAAGCCCTGGAAAACGAGAATAATAACCTAAGAGATGAAAAGCTTGGATTCACCAGAGTGATGAAACGGAAAAAGAAAATGGCTACCATTTCTTCTCCTGAAGCTACTAGCTCATTGAAAGTAAAGAATCAGTTTGAAGTTTTAAGCTCTGAACAGGAGGACGAGGAAGAGATTTACGAAACGAAGGTTAAATCATCGACTTTCTCACAGAAAGAAATTGCGATCAATAACAATATAACCTCAAAAGATCCGCGCTCCCAGAATGAAAGTACTCCTCTCAACCCGACTCATTATCAAATATTACCCCAACTCATCATACTACAGCCAAAAGTAGCAGCGACAGCCCGATCCTAATTATCGGCGATTCTATCATCAAACATATTGATCCTAAAAAGATCTCCCGAAAGAAAACTATTAAACGCACGTTTCCTGGCAAAACCGCAGAACAAATAAAATCTGAAGTGGAATCTATGGAGGTTGAAGTACTTCCTTCACACATTATTGTACATGCTGGGACTAATGATCTTTCCGTGCAACCGCCGCATAATTGCGTTAAAAACATCGAGAATCTAGCTTTGTGTATAAAAAAGAAATTTACAGATTCAAGAATAGCAATATCCAGCATAACTGTCAGAAACGACTTGGATTTAAGCAAACAGATCTCCACTGCTAATGAAGAATTACAAAAAATGTGCTCTAAGAACGGGTTTGATTTTATTAAAAACAATAATATTGATGCTACATGCTTAAATGGCGGCCTGTTACACTTGAACTCAAAAGGATCCGCATTCTTGGCAACAAATTTTATTAAGTTCCTAAGGGGGAACATTCCAGCTGCATCAGAGTATCGCCAAAGGAAGAGAGGGGAGGATTTTCAAGGTCGCCGGACATATCAGAATCATTCACTAGAGGACCTACTGAGACTCTTATTACTCGCTCAGAGGACCGAGTATTAAGTAATGATTATAATCGGTGTGACCCTCCGACAGGTAAAATAGATGAATCTAATAATATATTTTCTGATTTAGATTGTTCTAAAGGCCTAAAAATGGCAAATTTAAATATTAATAGTCTTTTAAAAAGTATCGACCAGCTCCGTATCATTATGCAAAATAGCTCTATTGACATTCTGGCGATTAATGAAACAAAAATTGACCATTCAGTGTATGATGATGAAATTAGCATACCTGGATATTATCATATCCGTAAAGATAGAAATAGGTATGGTGGGGGAGTGTTATTATATGTGCGAGAATCTTTACCATTTTCTGAACGAAATGACTTATTAATATCTGATTCGTTAGAAATGCTATGCATTGAAATTACGAAACCACACAATAAGTCACTTCTAATAGTTACATGGTATAGACCGCCAAATTCTGAGGTTATAGTCTCTTTAATGAATATAGGCCGTATTCTTTGGCCTCAAAAGTCGCCTAGAAAAATATTTCCGCTGCCATCGGTCTCCATCTAATTTTAATTTATATAAATCTATAAATTTTGACACGCTAAGTATGAATTTCAATGTTGTCACTCGCACAAACCTGCAGTTTTTGTTTCGTTCCCCGCAGGAACGAAACGGTACTGTATTCGGTTTCGAGCAATTATCACAGGAAAGTGACGTCAGAGATCAAAGTTATCCAATCCTTTGCCAGTATTCTTGCTCAAACGTCAATTACATTTAGAATCGTCCAATGAGATGACCGCTCCTAGCATAAGAAGTTTTTTGGAGGCGTGGCGTATAATCGGAAATCTTAGTTAATTATATATCAACCTATGAGAACATGCTAACTTAACCTGAAGTTCAGGCCTAATTTTAAATAGGGCCTGACACAAAACCTGTCTAGACCGTGGGACGCTCACATGTTATTTTTAGACACAGCATGCAATATGATTGACAAGTGTTATAGATTTCGTTACACAAAAAATTTATATTCTCATGAACATGTCCGCAGAGTGTGCATTTTGCTTTTTAATTAAACTTAAAAATTCAAGGTACTTTTATATAATTAAGAGTCAGTTTCTCTATTTAACCGAACAGCAAACGAAGATTCAATTAGTCAGTTCTGTGTACAGCTTGACTGCCAAGCTTTCTCAAGGTCTCAACTTGCTGGACGCGGATATATACCAGGGATATACTTTAACGGGCTAACAACAGCAACAATAAAATTCTCAATCGTACCACGAAGAAGGCGATGTAGCTCAGAAAACAACGCCGGTAGGACCTGATATTAAAAATAAGACTTTTGCCGGCGAAGCCAGTTGGCAGAACATCTTGGCTGTCAACAACAAACTTTCGAATAGATGACTAGTTTAGTTTGGCTGTTCTTTCAGCGTCGTGTGTCCAAAATTCGTCAAAGATTTTGATAAAGACCTTCAAAATACTATTTGTTTGATTTATTTTCTGCCATAAAGCATATTAAAAGAAAAGAAATTCGAAGAAATCGATAATGGATTTGTTACGTGCGTTTGACCTTTATACTATTATTGTCCCCTTGAGCCCTTGACCGAGCTATTTTTAAAACTGTTGTTTATGTGAACTTGCAACCAATCAAAATCTTAGGGCCTGAACTTCAGGTCAAAATCTACAGGGCACGATGATTTATATTTGAAGTATTCAAGCGCCAACAGCGGTATATATATATTTATTATATAGTTTTCTTTGTTTTTCTTCATTTTAAATACTACTACTGTATTTCTGGACCGCTCGGCCCCTCCAGGTATAATGAAAATTTATAGAACCCGCCCGCCTCACAAAATGAACCAATTTCATTGCTCGACATATACAAGTGATCTATGGTCACAACCGCTAATTATAGACGTCTGGTATTTCTATAATTATATTGGAACGAAACATTATTTCTTTTTTAAAGAAATATTTTCTTGTTGAGTATATTGCCACCAAAGTTCGGTATCTTTCACGGCTTCGAAACAAGATGGCCGCCATTTTTGCCCTGGGTACTTCGTGTAATATATGATGAACGGTACTAGTTTACAGACCCAATTTAAGCTACATTCACGCGGTCGAACGGAGGGTTATCGTGTTAGCCATCACAAGCGTTTGTTTTATCATTCCGTAAATTGATGTTAATAAAATGAGAGTAGAAATAAATGAATTAACTTAGTTAACCTTTTATGAAAGGCCTCTGCGGCCAAGAGTAGCATTTAAGGTGGCTCCCTATAAACGTTCCTGGAGGCATGTGTATCTAGGTATATCAATTGGCTACCCCACCTTAGAAAGATTCCTCGCACGTGCTGAGAAGCTAAATAGAAAAAATGTTTTACAATACATAATAATAAAGTATAATACTATAATAAGAATCAGGGCCGTAGCTAGCATGTATAGTTT